ACTAACATACCACCATCTTCTAATTTAGGGGAATGTGAACTATTTTAACACAGGAATTATTCTTTTATTATAGCCCTGGTAAAAGGGAAAGCCAGTAACCAATTAGCCAAGCTACTGTTAAAGCTGTTTCATAAACAAGAGACAGACCGAAGCAGGAAGGTCAGAGAGTGAGATTTTGTGTAACCTGAAAAGCAGCACAGCAAGACCCTCATTATGGTAAGATAACAGTAGCCGCACCCCAGATCTCCTGGTCTTTTTCGTCAGAATAGCAGTGGCCTCTATGTAGGGAGCATTCTGCACAGATTACTTAACGCGATCCTCAGAGCAAGAGCTGTTGTAGTGTCCCTGTTTTATAGATGAGGAAACTGCCACCATGAGAAAGCTGAGATCAGGGGGCTCGAGCCTGCTGTTGACCTTGAGATCCTCCAGGCTCTCATTAACTGTCTCCTGAATTGAAGTCGGGAGAAGAAATCAAAATTGTCAGTGACTCTAAACTGACTGTGTAAACAGTGTGCCAGCAATTGCCTTCACCAAAAAAAGTGGGGGAGGGTGTTGCAGAAAGAACCCAAAATAAGAAGAATGCCAGGAGCCCGATCTTTATAGTCTAGAAACTTCCCAGATAGTTAAAAATCTCATAAAAACCTAGTATCAATCTGAATAGAGGCCTGAATTCAATAAACTAAATGTTAAGATTATAAAGAAATACCACTTAACATCTATTTGGCCACAAAGAGATGAAATGACTCATCAAAGTTACTGAGTGCCTCCTATTTCCTGGACATAATATAAGGTGCACTGAGAATAGAGACCTTACCTTTATTCAGTCACAAGGGCATGGGGCGGAAGTCGGGGTGGCATGTTGGAGACAATAGAGTGTACACAGTAAAGCAGGAAGAGGGTACTGCAAAGTAAATCCCAATGCAGAGTTCTGGAAGAGGACACAGGAGAATTTCTACTGGTTATTTTACCAACAGTTGTAATTGCCCCATCTTGTTTTAAAGTCTTGGATGGTGATAGGAATGGAAAAAAAAAAAAAACTACTAAATAGCTGCCATATTCTCAGAACTTTGTAGCTTGAAGGAGAATGAGAACATTCGGTGGCAATGTTGATGCTGAGGTAGAGGTGAGGACCAAAAAAAGCTTTTGTGTTCTAATCAGATATATTCTAGAGACGGTTCAAAGCTGGGACATTATACCTCTAGAAGATCCTGCGGTCTCTGGAAGTTACATTTGTCATTGTCTCAGTGTCCTGTTCATGAATGTTCATCCGTTACCTGAGCTGACTTCAGGCTCTCTCCCCTTCAGCCTTCACTGTCATACTCCGGGAGGCTTCGGCGGTACAGTGTTAGTACACTCTTAAGAAGAGAGAGAAGCAAGGCTCTGGGGTCAACAGAATTAATAGGCAGGAGTCTGGAGCAAAGCTGAATGCAGAGATGAGACCAGAAGTCCCATTCCCCTTGATGAGATCCTTGGGGAGTCACCTCGGTTCCAATTAACTCTAGCTGAGCTAATGGGCTGGTTGCTCATCCTAAATCAAGAGAACAAAGCTTTGTCCACCTGAGCCCATGTGCTGAGGGAACAGTGGCCACAGTGACATTATGTGAGATGCAGAGTGTTAGTGTCACCAGTACACTTAGAGGAGTCTCAGGACAGACTGCTTCATGCAAGAGGGCAGAAAGGACCCTGGAAAGAGCGTCCTGAGCCTCTGTGACAGAATGCCAGTCTGGCTCTGAAATAGTTGCAAAAAAAAAAAAAAATTTAACTCCTTATGAAAAAATATCACAGTGAGTTAAGTTGAGGTTTTTATAAAAACTGAGAGGGAAATGACTTAACCAAATGTCACAAATCACATAGGAAAAGTTATTTTATATAGACTAGCTAGCTACAGGGCCGTAGGCGCAAAGATGTAGTGTTCTCCAAAAGTGGGGTTTCTGGAGGTTTATCTTTCTTGATAAAGGCCAAAGGATTCAGACTGTGAGGGAAGAACAGGTAAATGGCAGTGAAGCAAAGCACAAGAAATCATAGAGTCTTTCAAAGGCAATGGACTGGAAACTGACTTTGGGAAGGATGCTGGTGGGAGATAGGATGGGAAAGGCTCACTAAGGAATTAGGAATCTGACCAGAGTTTGGAGTGAGGGAATAGCAGAGTCAAAGCTGCAAGCAGAAAAGCAGCAGTGTGAGGCCGGGAGGGTGTCTGTCCCACACTAAGCAGATCTGCCTTCCTGGGCGGCAGTCCTGAGTCTGCGGAGCTGTTTCCTAAACACAGTGGGAGTGGCCTAAACTCAGGCTGAGAATGTTCGATACTCTCCATCTAACACTTGCTACAGGGATATTCTCTTCTCAGCTTGGTTTGTGAAGCTGAGGACTCAAAGGTTGCTGGAAAGCTTTTTGTTCAGTTATTGTTTTGAATTGAGCCGCAACATGGTAGAGCACTAAGTCCCCACCTGCCCTTGGGCAGGCTCTGGCTGCAGGGACACCAGGCAGGTGGTCATCTAGCCCTGGTCTTTGCCCGGGAATTCTGAGTCAGTCTGCTCTTAGTGCTCCTGTCTGTTTTTAAGTTTTAACTTTAGTTATTAATACCTCTGACTTTCAGTGAGTTCTCATCTGTGGGTGTCTCTGGTGAAGTGAACTTAGCATATTCATTTTGAGAATTCTAGTTTTGTCTTACAGCTGGCCTAATACAAATAAGCTTAAATATGCAACTGTATTTCAGTCCTGAATAGGGCACTACTCTCCACAGCCCATCAGCCAGTGTCACTTCAAAGGGTTTTAACACCTATTAAAATCACATTAACTTTGAAATGCCAGTTCTGATAGAGAAAAGCCACTCCAGGATCAGATGATATTATCAGCATCTAAATGAGCCAAGCACCACTGCAAGGAATTACAGATGACATTATTATCCACAAGACAAAGTCAGAAGGCCTTAGGCAAACCCCCGGGGTTCTAACAAAATCAGATTTAACATTATTTATGACTATTCTTTGTTTTCTGTCATTCACATAATTGGAAAAGTGGAAGTGAGGCAACAGATCTGCCCAAAGGTTTTAGGTAACAAAGCTTTTGATTGGCCATATTGAATGACTGCTTTAAGCAGTGCAGACAGCTGCTCAGAGCAGTCTTGGTCAATTGCATTATGTTATAACAGAAGCCCAGCCTCTGGCGAAGGCCAGTGGGAACAGAGCCACACAGCAGGGGGGCAAGTAGCCCTAAGCAGCATGAACCTCTGTATTGTTACGTTAAAGCCTCTCAGTGCCAGGGCGCTGAGCAGCTCGGCCCTGAAGGAGGTACCTGCCAAAGGCAGGTCTTCAAAACTCTGGAGCCCAGGATTCCACTTATTCTGGGATTTGTATACAGATGGAATTTAATGTCTTTCAGAATACAATTCCATCTTCAAAGGTATTTTTCTTGGATGCTATAAAATAATACACCACTGACTTCCAAGGTAATTCTAAAAGACAGTCCCCCAAATATTGTGACTGGCTAGCATTGCTTCTGTCCTCACAGGTGTTCAGATCTGAGACTCTTTACTTTGTGCTCACACTTCATCATCTTATTCTTGACAAAAGAGCCCAAGGTGGCCATCAGCTCCTTGAAGCCTGAGTTTGCCAAATTCCAGGTTATAAAACATCTTAGAACAGAAAAGAACAAAGTTTATCACATTAAGTAAGAATCAGTAGAGGGTAGGGATTGTCATGAAGCCTCAACTTCCCCTTGAGAGGTGTGCTGAATTAATGCCTGTGGGGCTTTTTCATTTGTGGTGTTTTTGGTTTTTTTTGTGGACAAGTGGGAAGAATGGCAATTATGAAAAATTACATACACAGCTTCCAAAACTCAGAGAACCTATGGTTCCTGTGACTAAATAGGGAGCTTATGTGTTCATCCCTTCATTAAATTGTTTGATTACAGTGAGCTCCTCCTTGGAGAGAAGAGAGGGACTCCTAACAAGGAAGTAGATAGAAAAGACAACTAGCAACTCGTTTTCCTTATGTTTAATGGAAATGCTGTGGAAATATCCAATATCTATGCAATCCGTTGGTGGGGGGGGAGTCTGTGTGCTCCTAAACTCTGTTACATCTGTTCTGTGTAAAACATTTCTCCTGATAATTTTGTGTCACTTTGCTCCTGCTCTTTGAGGCAGCTGTGCACTGCTAATGGCTTCCCTTATTAGTTAACGCCTGTTCTTCCCTGGGTTTGGCACACACAGTATAGAAGGACTTAGTTTTTCAGCACTTTACCTGGGTGCATGGATGGTGTTTACATCCCTGACGAAGGTTGCCAAAGAGTGTTACTTCTTCCGTAGCTGTTTTTCTAAAGAAGGATAATTTAAGTAAAATGAGATATAACTGGGAAATCAGTAGGGCCGTATGTATGTGAGCCATGTGTGAGAATTGGGTTGTAGGTAAGTGTCATTTCAGACTGAGGCCTTGTCTGCGTGAAGTCCGATAGTTCTAAAACAGGCTATCCAGACTATAAACATTGCAAATCATAGTTGAGATTATATTTCTCCTTGGGGTTTTTCTATTCATCCTAAGGCTCAGGTGAATTATCTCCTGTCTAAAACCTTCCTCCTGCTCCCATCATAGTTTTTTCTGGCGTTCACAATTGATTGTCATTATCATCTTGACAGTTTCTGCCCCACCAAACTGAGACATATTCAAAGAGATGGCTGGCTTGTAATCCCAGCAAATCCTTGATCAAAATCTGGAGTAAAATAGATGATTGATGAATTAGTCAAGAATGAGACACTTGTATCTTCACATCTTTCACACATTTGTTACTGATACATCCATAATTATTTAATGAAGTTGAACTTGGAGAGATAATGGTGTCTGTAGAAGGGAAGTGAGTAAATACTCTCTGCCTCTGTATCTGTAGTTTCTCTTTCTACAACTGTATTGTTACACTTCTCAAATCTTTGAAATCTTCATCTGTTTTTGTCCCTAGGAAGTACAGCGCTGTACAGCCGATATGAACATTACTGCAGAACATTCCAATCACCCAGATAACAAGCACAAAAACAGATACATCAACATTTTAGCATGTGAGTAATAAACTTTTACCTATCCTCAACTGCAAAGAAATTCGATCTTTATGCTGAGTAGAAGCTGGAAGCCACGCTAGCAGAATTAGGATGTAAATGAGCCTCATTAGCCAATCGTCCAGTATGTAAGAAGCAGGCGCCTTTCTGCCTCCTTGGCCACTCACTAGCTTGTCACAACCAGCCTGATAATAAGGTGACAGAGAGAAAATGGTCTGAGCTTCACTATTTTCACATGATTTCTTATCAGATGTGGGAGCACAGTTTGAATGTCACTTGTGTTGTGTATCTTGACATTGCTTTTAACCAGTGAGAACCAGGTTTTCAATACAAATACCATAATTGAGTCGAGAGTTGAATTTCGAAGACAGCCTCAGCTCTCTACCTGACATGGTAGGTCTCCAGTCCTTATGGCCCATGTGCTTACGCTAAAGGTATCCAGGAGGTTTGGGACTCAGATAAATAGGTGTTGTTCTTGGGGAACCTAAAGGGCCCCCAAGTGCACAGATTGTGGCCATAATGCTACTTTCCACAGACATCAGGGCTTGCATCACTAGTGGAAGACATAGCTTTGGTATTAAGGTTAAGGGCACAGATGTTAATGGTAAACATGAATTACATAATAACAACATAGAATTTTATATAATAATGTATTTAGTAAAAAAAAATAATGTATTTATATAATAGTATATTGGATCACTTAAATTTGAAAACTATACTACTCTTCATACTATTTCAGTGAGCTACAATTCACTCACTATCTATCTATATATCCACAATTTAAAGGTGAACATAAACTTCAGTGACATTACGGGGTATTTAGTATGTCAAAGAGTTGTATAACTATTGCCACTACATCAGTTTTAGAACATTTTCAGTACCCCAGTGAGAAACCTAACATCCAACTTTCCCTCTTCCTAGCTCCTAAAAACCTACTTCCCATCTATGTATTGGCCTATGTAGACATTTCATCTAAATGGGCTCATACAGTATGTGGCCTTTTGTTTCCACCTCTACTTAGTATGCTCAGAAGTTATCCATGTGAACTTTATTTCACTACCTCATTTCTTTTTCTGGCTGAATAATACTCCACTGTATTGGTCCCACATTCCTTCCTCATGTGTTATACATGAATTGTTTCTACATTTTGAGTATTCATAATGCTGCTCTGAACATTTGTTCAGGTTTTGTGTGACATGTATAAGTACAGGCAGAGGAATGGAAACAGTTTGAGAATCTACTCACCCTGGCTGTGACATTTTACATTCCCACCAATCGGGGGGGGGGGGGGGGGGGGAGTCCACAACCTCCCCAACACTTGCAATTTTATTTTATGTAGGGATTTTTGGTAAGTTAAGTGAGTGTGTTATCTCATTGTGATTTAGTATAATGTTGAGTAGCTTTTCACGCCTCTACCCTTCTCCCACTGAATTTTTTAGCACTGAACATAAGCATTTGCCATGGGGGTGAGGTACAAAATATACCTGAGCGGCTCGATCCTACATCTCTGCCTCATATACATAGTGTCGTGAACCAGTGTTGCCTCGAAAAAAATTTTAATAAAATTGAAAATTTAAGAAGGCAAAATAAAATACTGAAGGGTTATTTCTGGATTCTCAATTCTTTCCATTAGTATGGATATCTAACTATCAATATTACACTGTTGATTATTAACTAGCTTTGTAGTAAGATTTGAAATTAAAAACTGAGTTGTCCAACTCATATTAATTTTGTAGATTAATTGGGGAACACTGCCATCTTAATAATGCCTTCTACTCCATGAACACAGGATAGGATCTTCCCTTTCTTTTAAATTCTTTCAATAATATCTTACTTCTACATTTTACAAACATTGTACTTTTCAATAAGTTTATTTCTAAATGTTTCTTATGCTATTGTAAGTAGCCTTGTCAAGGCCTTGGAACTTGGTTTTGAAATACAGGAGAGGGAAGTTTTTGAGGGTTGCAAATTGCAATTGCTTTACAAGAACTATCAAAAAACCTGTTTGCCCATTTTGGGCTATCATAGGTCAGTACCTGAGGTAGAAGTATCTGTTCTGGGGACGGGTTTAAGTGCTATGGGCTCTGAACCATTTAGTTGTCTGCCAAAGGGCTTCTACGGGCACTCTGAGAGATGCCATATTGCCTGTTTGCTTGCTTTGTGCTTTAGAATGCTGCTTGATTTTGAAGTAAACTTTTTTTTCCCCTCCTACAGATGATCACAGTAGGGTGAAGTTAAGACCTTTACCAGGAAAAGACTCTAAGCACAGTGACTACATTAATGCAAACTATGTCGATGTAAGTCAAATGTTTTTGATAAACCTGTTTCTGGTAATTAAAGGGTACTGCAGAGACCATGAACATGTTTTAATACTGCAAAGAGCTTTCACTAGAAACAGTCTTATTTATTATGGAAAGGCATTTGAATGATTAACCACTTTCTGATACTGCTTTTGCTTTACTTTGTGCTGTGTCATCTTTGAAGGGTTACAACAAAGCAAAAGCTTACATCGCCACCCAGGGACCTTTAAAGTCTACATTTGAAGATTTCTGGCGGATGATTTGGGAACAAAACACTGGAATAATTATCATGATTACGAATCTTGTGGAAAAAGGAAGGGTAAGAGCCTCTTGGCTTAATATCTTATTAATCACATACCCTCACTCAGAGTATTCATGGGCTAGCTGCTTTAGGGTAGGACTTGACCAGCTCTAAGGAGTTACAAAACTGGTATCCTTTCCACTTTGCAAGAGTAGATTAAATATGATAGAAATGAGAAGTGTAAGGGGGTAGGAATGCCATACAATGGAGAAATGTAGCTTCTACTACAGAGATCTCATAAAGGAGCTAATACTTGAGGTGAAACTTAAGCAGTGAGGCAGGAGTTAGGCTTAAAAGAGAAGGGTGGACAGTCCAGGTCCAGGAGGAAGACAGAACAAAAGCAAGGACATTAGAAACAGTGTGTAGTCAGGGAACCGGTAGTGATGGTAGTTCAGAGTAGAGGAAGCACAGGCTTTGCCCATCAGCAGGAAAACCTTTACGATGATATTTTATAATTTTAGATTATGATCTTATGTTTGATGAGGCTACTGTAGACTGATAATGGACTAAGTCAAAGAAGTACCAGGGAATCGTGTAGTAAACAAGTCAGAACAATGAAGACACATATTGAACATTTGTACTGCAGGCCATTTGACAAAGAACTTAGCACTGGTAAAAGAAGTCAGTAAAGTTTCTGAGGTGAAGGGCAGGGAGAAAACATCAAAGGGGTTTGGCAATGGGACCAAAGAAAGGCTGAAGTCAGGGCTAGGTGTAGTTCAGTTTTTCAGAACCGCTACAGCTTCACCTTGTGGAGTCCTTCTTCGTCACTGGTGATCCAGATCTAGCTATAAGCAGGTCTCCTTTAGCTGACTGCAGCCCAGCTTCCCACGTAATACTTCAGCCCCCTACCCACACTTAGGTCTCTTTAAGGATCATCATGTATTGAAAGATGATTGTGAATACTAGGCCCATTTCTCAAGTCATCTTTGCCAAAGCTGTCCCAAGATTGACCACCTCATGGGTCATTCCAGCCTGTGAGCAGTTCAGTCCCCATGTTCCCTTGGTGACAGCACCTTTGTTCTAACACTGTCATTTGAAATCACATGGACAATTACAACTTTTTTCTTGTTGCAGCGAAAATGTGATCAGTATTGGCCAACAGAGAACAGTGAGGAGTATGGAAACATTATTGTCACACTGAAGAGCACAAAAGTACATGCCTGCTACACAGTTCGTCGTTTCTCCGTCAGAAATACAAAAGTGAAAAAGGTATGGAAGGAACTGGACAAGCTGCCAGGGCCTCTGTTTAAAGGTGTGTGAAAATAACGATCCAAACAAGAATGACCAACTTGGTTTTTAAAAAGTATCTTTGAAAAACTGGTTCATAACTCTCTTGGCTGACATAAAGGTATGGCATAAAATATACTAGCCAAACACAAAATAGAATTTAACTGTCCTGATTGAATTTGTTATTCATGAAGGCTCGATTATTTTTAAAAGGATCTTTCTAGATTTTGATAAGCAGCAAATAGAGCAGCCTCTATTGATCTAACTTTTCACTTCCAATATCCTGAAAGCATTAGAGGTGGCTCAACCTAACTAGTCACCACTGTACACAGGCTTGGCCTGTTGTCCAAGCCTGTAGTGTTCTTTGGTATGACTACCTCTAATAAATAGGGGGAAATTTTTGTACTTTCCCAGATCCAAAAATAACCTACCAAATCAGACGAGAGATGCTACACTTTCGGATACAGGGAGAACCTATGCCTACAGACCACATGAAACATGCCTCCCAGTTACTGCTCTTATTTTAGAAATAGCTAAGTCAGAAGAGGAAGTCAAATAAGAATAAAAGGCATTTGCACAAGAGAAAGAGACAACTAAAAATGAAGAAGCATCAGGAAAGTGAGAGTTAACAGGACACTGAAAGCCACCGAGAGCCTTTGTAGCACAAAGCCAAACACCTTACAAGCTCTAATGCTGATTAATGACCCTGAATCATCAAAAATCATATCACCAAAAAGAAAAATGTATCACAGCCATTGATCTATTAGGGGACATTTTTCATTCAAAGTCATTAAAATGTAAAACGTTCAGCTACTTAAAGAAAAACTACGCTGCAGGTTTCATCTATGAAAGTGACAGCTAATTTGATCATTGCCTTTGACTGTAGATTTTGAGAATCGTTTGTCACTTTGGGTCTCCCCACATTGCACAGCAGCTGCTAGCACTGTTTCCACGGGCCCAAGTCAAAGCAACGCCCTGAGGCCTTCTGCACTGGGGCCGGAACCCAGAAAATAGAGGCCTTGTAGGCAAATAACAAAGTGGTTCCGAATCCAGAGACATTTAATCTTGCTCCAGTATTAAACCATGTTTCTCTTCTTCATAAGAGATTCACTTGATCCTTCCTATCCAGCCAGGTAAGGTCTCATTCATGGCATTGATGTCCACCCCCCTACCAGCACGCCCCCCCCATTTAAAGACCTCTGTTTTCACCTTTCTCAAGGGCCAGAAGGGGAACCCCAAGGGTCGCCAGAATGAAAGGGTGGTGATCCAGTATCACTACACGCAGTGGCCGGACATGGGCGTTCCCGAGTATGCCCTCCCCGTGCTGACCTTCGTGAGGCGATCCTCAGCAGCCCGGATGCCAGAGATGGGCCCCGTGTTGGTACACTGCAGGTAGGACCCCTCTCGTTCTCTGCCTGTGGCTCAGCATTTGAAGTGGATTGGGCAAGGGCTGTGGTCTGGACAGTGCACCCCAGACCACTGTGGCTCTGCCACTGGAACCAGGCTAGCCAGGTCTGTGAGGAGTCACTCTTCCCACACCACTGAGCAGGCACCTGCTGCATCAGAGGTTAGAACAGTCGGCTCTTACAACACGATTCTACTTTCTATAATGTCATTTTATTATTAATAACAACTTCACTGTTTATTATGGCAAAGTTTAGAAATGCACTTTACTATAAAAACACAAATATCTGAGCTTAAACACAAGTTTCCACACTAGGGGATTTGACATTTTGTGTGGCTTTTCTAATAATATTTATTGCATGTATGAAAAGATTTTCAATTTTTTAGTTGATACATGTCACATAAAATGCCTTTAAAAAAGCACCAGGAAAGCCCTCTGTAAAGCCTATTTTCCTTCCTTAACTACCTTAAACAACTTCAGCAGGTTGTTTAGAAGTGCTTTTATTATGTTTCATTTGCAGTTGCATTCTTGGCTTATGTTTGCTTTCCTATTCAAACAGGCATTGCTTATTCTGTGATTGATGTTGGGTAGCTGCTCAGCCTTTTCTAAGCATTTCTTTGGGACTATTTTTATAATATGCTAACACAAAGAAAGTCCTCTGCAGCAGTTGGACCCCATCTTCTGCTGAAAATCCCATGAGAACTAGCCCATTTAGGAATCACTGAGAGGATAGTCTATCAAACGGAATCAGGTTGGTAGTGGAGCTGTGTGAGGAGGGGAATCAGCCAAAAACAGCCTGTTGCTTAGTATCCAGCACTTAGCTCTTCTGGCGATTTCTGTTGAATAAAAAATAGGAAATTTGACTAACAAGAGTCCATGCTGGAACCAGGTATGCTGTTTTCTATTCCTCTTCCACTAAAGGAAAGCAGCTCCCTCTTAAATAGGAACAGTCTGGGGAGTTGCACAGAAAGTAGGTTTTTTGAAAGGCCAGTAAGCGGGTGCTCCCAAAATCACGAGGAGAGGTGGGAAACCAGGCACAACCCTTCACCCAAGGAAAAGCTCCCCCTGCCTCAGCAGGTGTGGTTCTGGTGGAGAGAAGTTCCGTAGGCCAATTTACAGTAGCCTGTCTTCCCATCAAGATTCACAGGCAAGGGAAAGTCCTGATTCAGATTTTAGATGCTGCTGGATTGAAAAACTACTCTCAGATTGAGTCCTGCATTACTGACACATTCAATTAGCAACTTTTGCTTTATTGTCTTCATTTCTTCCAGTGCTGGTGTGGGCAGGACAGGCACTTACATTGTAATAGACAGCATGCTGCAACAGATAAAAGACAAAAGCACAGTTAATGTCCTGGGATTCCTGAAGCATATCAGGACACAGCGCAACTACCTCGTCCAGACTGAGGTAAGGGGTAGCTGCCAGTGCTCTTGGGAGAGTCCAGCACAGGTTCCTCACTTCAAGTCAGAGGGTGTTGAGGAGATGGAGTCATTCTCTAAGGCTTGAAGGAATCTACAGATTTGTCTGAGAGGGCATCCCAACCATGTATCTATTCCTTGCTTCAGCATTTTCCATTTCTGTGAGCATCTTGATCCTGGATTTCTCAGTTAACTACCCAGCAGATAGTTGTATCTAGTGTTGTGCTCCACACTGTGGGGAGCTAAACATGTTGTCTGGCCTCCAAAATGCATGTGGATGCTTTTAAATGCCCTTCACTGAAGCCCCATGTCTCCTTTGTTGGCTGCATTGTGAAAATGAGTAATGAAGATGTGTCACAGCAAAGCACTGAGCTGCACAAGCCTGCAGAAGTCCCTGCAAGCAGGAGCAAAGGTCATTTCAGGTAGACTCCATGTCCCAGATAGAGGGGGCTACCTATCCCTTTCAGGATACTCGTCAGCGACGACCTTTCACTCTCTGTTCTAGGAGCAGTACATTTTCATCCATGATGCCTTGCTGGAAGCCATTCTTGGAAAGGAGACTGAAGTATCTTCAAACCAGCTGCATAGCTACGTCAACAGCATCCTCATACCAGGAGTAGGAGGAAAGACACGACTGGAAAAACAATTCAAGGTAGTATCTGAATAGGTTTCTTCAGCAAAAGAGCAAGGAAGTAAAGAAAGCTGGAAGTTTGTAGGTTAAATACATTATGGCCAAAAGGGCATAAAGGCAGTTAAGACTGTTCAGATCAAAAAACCTAAGTCATCTCCAAGAATTTATATTTTCCAAAGTCTCTCCAATTACTAGTCTTTTAAGTTTTCTCACTGTGTCAGGGTGAAAAGAATGAGATCAATCTGTACAGTCTTAGTTTTCATGGTTAAACGCCATCTGAATCTCCTCAGCTGAATAAGTTAGACTTCCAAGCAAGGTAGAATAAACAAATGATATGAACAAGGCTTGTTTTTTGCTAGCTCTCCTAATTACTCTAAAGCCACTGAGGTGGTTATTAATTAGGACATTCTGCCTTGTATTAAATGCTTTTAATACATAATATTTTTAAGAACTCATTTTAACATTTTCAATTATTTGTTTCCATTGCCGAAATATTACACATATTTTTATAAAAATTGCATCAAAGAAACCAGTTCATTCCATTGGAAGTCAGGTAGTTGGCTCTTTTACAGCACTAACCCTTAGGTGCAAGTAGAAAAAAAAAAAAAAAACAAGCATCAGAAACTCAGACTTACTTCACCAAAGGCCATAGATGCTGTGAGCTGGAGAAAGAAACCATTTCCAAATACTCCATTAAGAGAGAACTTCCCCAGCCCCCACCAAAATAAAAAAAGAAGAAACCACCCAAGTTTGACAAAAAGGTTCAGCTAATACAAGCAGGGATAATAACTAAATATTGAACTAATTATAATGGCCTTAACAATATCAGTTAACAGAAATAGAAAACTTGAAACATGATTAATTCTTAATACCATGAAACAATCTTTCCTTGTCTGGTATGCATGTGAGGAATTACAGAAAACAATTCACAGAAGTAATGACATCAAAAACCATATTAAAAAAACCATATTAAAAAAACCCAAGGTAACAGAAGTACTATTACTGGAATACAAATTTTTTTTTAATTCCTCACGAGTATGATGATTATACCTTGTGAGATTTCTGTGTAAGTTTAATGTGTACAACATAATGATTTATAACTTTGTAAACTGATTATTGCAATAGGTTAGTTGACAAATTTATACCTTCAAATGAAAACTGAAATGTTGCCTTTCTTTCAGCTGGTGACACAGTGTAATGCAAAGTATGTGGAGTGCTTTAGTGCTCAGAAGGAGTGTAACAAGGAAAAGAACAGAAACTCTTCAGTCGTGCCATGTAAGATCTTAAAATTAGGTTCATATAGTTAAACCACCAAGCGGAAAAGCTCTTCCCTGGGCAACTGAGGCAGCCTGAGCATGGGAGGGGTAGAGGGGTGCTGTCAGTGCCTTCTAGTCTCTGCATGTGACATGAAGTCGAGCTTCAGTTCACTTCAAAGTTCAAGAATGAGGCTACTTGTACCATATCTACACTACAACAAAAGTAAAGTCATTGGCACTGTGGAATTACTCTCTGGGTTACCCTGTATACCTGCAACGACACCACTGTGGCTTTTGAGCTCAAGGCACTGTTGGATGGTGGTGACCTTTTTTTTAATAACTCAGGAGATAGCAGAGGAGAATGTGTGGATGTTAGACATAGGCCTGGGTATTCACAGGGGAGATTATGTCTACTGAAAAGACCACTGTTTACTAAGCCCTTCATGGGGGTGTACAAACAAGGGGTTAGCAGAGGTCAAAATACTGTTTGCATAACTGTAGGAATATCAGGCCTAGGTCAAATACTATCTGAACTCCTGTCGTCTTTGCACAGAGTGGCTTCCTGTATGTAAGGCCGTGCCCCTGGGAATGTTCAGCCAAATTTCATTTTACATTCCGCCTTAGCTGTTAACTCTTAAAAAGAAACGGAAGCCAGGGAGAGACAGTACTCACCAAGTGAATCTCCGAGCGCGCAGTTGGCCATGTGTATATAATAAGGCAAATGTGGTGTTTTTGTTTTTTCCATATGATAGCCGAGCGTGCTCGAGTGGGTCTTGCACCGTTGCCTGGAATGAAAGGAACAGATTACATTAATGCTTCTTATATCATGGTGAGAGTCAACAGCTAATTATAAATAAAGTCAATTAAACTGGAAGGTGCTAAAGAATAGATACCACCTGCGTGACTGATTTTAGTTCTCAAATAATTTCCCGATGTGTAATATCAAAATGAAGATTTTTATATCTTGAAAGCTTTAAGAAAAAGACATGTAATCAGTGGGGGGACAAAAATGCTTGTTAAGGAATTAAGTTTATTGTTAATTTCACCCAACTAGTCTTTGTATGAATGTTGAAATTACTGTTAAGTAAAAACAGCAGGGGTGACGAGAAGGGAATTGCACGTGCAGAGAAAATTGTCTACACATGTTAGCAGAAGTATATCTTAAAATTACCCAAATGCACTGAATACCTTCAATTGTTTTAGTGCAGTCAAAATAATACTGTCTCACTTTGAATAGATCTTACTACCACAGGGTTAGAATAAAACACATAACAACTAATTTTTTTTCTTGTCTTAACTGAAGGGCTATTATAGGAGCAATGAATTTATTATAACCCAGCATCCTCTGCCACATACTACGAAGGATTTCTGGCGAATGATTTGGGATCATAATGCACAGATCATTGTCATGCTGCCAGACAACCAGAGCTTGGTAAGTAAAGCACATCTGCTATATATTAATGAGCCTGTGAGGCCAGGGCATAAATTACTTTGATACCTTGCCGCAGGGTAGTATGTAAGCCTACACGATTCATTCAGGCTCACTGTTACTGTCTGAAGCAGATCCCAGGGTTGATTCTCTAGTGCTGGTGATCTTACCCCTCAAGGCACTGTACATGCCAACATAGTAGGTGGTTTTGAAAAATTTACCTCGTCTACTGTATGTCACTTGAAAATAGCAGCTAACATTTATGTAACCATGTTTATATATCTGTTAACTCATTTAACCCTCTAATTTTAGGGCATAAACCCATAAAATATTATCCATCTCACTCATAACTGGGAAAACTGAAGTAATTTGCCCAATCGCACACACAGTAAGCTTTGTAGGATTTGTCCTTGAGTCACTGTCTCAGGATTCCATCATATTGCTGTAATACATGTACCAGTCATGTTACCCAGTCAAAATTTTTTCTGTATCAAAGATACTCATCACATACCATTTTTCCCTCTTTTCATTAGGCAAGTCAGATCCATTACATGGAAGGAGATAACGGATATTTTTGTTGTAACTTACAGGTGCTCGTAAGACCTTAAATAAGTTATTACCTTTTTCCTTCCCTTTCCTTCTTCACTTGGAGTGCTCAGACTAGAAGGGGAGAGGGTGAGCAGGTTTATAAAAGCAAGCATAAGTGATGCTATGATCTTAGGTCTTACTACATGCTTAAATCTCAGAATTAGTTGAGTCTTCAAAAGTTACTGAGGACAGTGTCATAAGCCTGAGAGTCAAAACAATGGGATGTGTCTATGAGCATCAGACCAGTGCATTTTTTTTTTTCAATCAAGAAAGAACAGCATGTGATTGAACCCTTGTCTTGATGACAAGGATTTGACTGTGTGCCCAGTCAGTAGGAACTTCACTTTGTCGCATTTTGCTCTAGCTTCAGAATACCAAGACTGCTTCTGTATGATAGAATGGCAACAAAGTTGAGAATCTCAAGCTAAAAACTGGAGTGTAAATTTTCAAATTAGCTGGCAATAGAGGTCTATTTTGTTTGGCATGTGGAAATTGGAGGCATGTAGGGTTGTTAAAAACGCTCATTTATTGGATGAGTCAGTATTTTGTTGTTGTCACTTAAGAGGACAGTGTCCAAAAGCATCTCTCCACAAGCTCATCTATGTGGGGGAACTAGAAAGAATGGACCAAATCAGTTGTCCATTATCTGTGGACAGTGAGAATGTGGGTCTTGACTGAAACACAGCTCTCAAGGCAGCATAGTTCCTCCTAAGGACAGTGTCTGGAGTCTTTGTTTCATTACTTATTACTATTCTACCTTTACCACAATACTGTGTAGCCCAAAGTCATTGGTTCCCAACTCAGAAAACACTGTTCATTCACATAAAATATTTGTAAGCAAAGTAGCCATGAGATCAAACTGCCTACGGAGTTAAGTGGCACTTATTTCTCATAGTCTTTCAAGATGAGCATCTAGTCTGTAGTTTGAGTCTAATTTGTTGTTTCCTGCCTTTATTCCACTAATACTAAAATCTCTTATTATTCTGACATTTCAGATGTGGAAATTGAGGCTTGGATAGCTTAATTTATTCAGGATCACATCCAATCCGATGCTGAATTTGTGCATGTTGGTTAAAGTAACTTTATGTCAAGAGGGCCCTACTTCCTTGTCCTTGGGACAAAATATATTAAAACTCATGACAGTTACAGACGTCTTTTGTATAGACTAAACCCAATTGCTAATCTGTTTCCCCTTATGCTGAGCTTTAAAAATAAAAATGTACTTGGCAATAAGCTATATTGAAACTTGAAAGGGTGATAAGTCTTATTGGACTGTTGGCTCATTTCTAATGCAACAATGTAAGATTAAACAAAACCTTCTTTGTTTTGAACATTATTCAGAACTATTTCTGACTTCTCTAGTAGCTAAGCATTTTCAGAAAATGCCCATCACAAATCTATATATTATAAGCAAACTGTAGTTTACCATGTGAACTAATTATGGAAAGGGTTGTAGATGCTCATTATCATCATTATATTTTCCTTAAGTCTCCAGCCTGTGCAATCATTAACTTTTTCTTAGGCTTCTATAGTTTTTCAGAGGAAGACTTTTAAGTACTAAGTCTGAATATTCTAGCCTTAAAATAGATGAACATTTAAAGCTGGTCTAATAAAAGACCAAAAGACTTTCTATGTTTTCCTCTTCTGAAACCTAACATTGACAGCTAACTTTCTTATAAGCACTTGCTGCCAAAGTGCTTATGTATGCACCCATCTCTTATCAAAAAGATTCTACTCACCTTTTATAAGCAGGGTGACATTAGACTATGGATGTCTGAGTCTTGTATCTTCAATCACAAAGACAGATGATAAAAATCCCTCATCTTAGCTAGTATATTGTAAAACAAATAAAGTAGGTGTTTGAGTCCTTAGCAAAATGCTAACCAAGTGTAGAACTGTTGTCAACTACTCTATAATTAATGGATTTAGAATTGTCATAGGAAAAAAAAAGGACACTTTTCAACCAGAGATTATATATCCCCTATGGAAGAAGCACTTGGGGTGGTTCCAGTGACTTAGGAAACATTTCTAGTTTTCTGTCATAAAAGTATGCTTTGCAAACCACTGAACTCGCTCTGATTAGATAGGGATATAATTTTATGAACCCAATTTAAAAAGATTGTTTAGAAAAGGTATGAGAAATGGCAAGTGAATCATTTTGCAAGAAAATTTTAAAATATTTGGCAGCAATACAGAGAAATGTGTCATTGTTGTTCCCATAGGCAGAAGATGAGTTTGTATACTGGCCAAGTCGAGAAGAATCCATGAACTGTGAGGCCTTTACCGTCACCCTTATCAGCAAAGACAGACTGTGCCTCTCTAATGAAGAACAAATCATCATCCATGACTTTATCCTTGAAGCTACACAGGTAACCCGAACCTCAAGTCCTCAGCAATAACCCTACTTTTAGTCCTGGATCATCCTCCTAAATAGTAGTGAAGTAATTCATTATCCTCAAGACAAGCCCAGGAAGTTGAATATGACTTAATTTTAAATATGTACATTTCTTTCTTCAAATATTTGCCTTTTCCAGCTGAACAGATGAAATGGCATAGCTCCTCTGGCTGAGCATGCATACAAATAGGTCTGTTGACCTAATTATAAAAACAATATTATCATCTCTGCAACACATTGCGAGGTTTACATTTCTGATGGCAAAGAACAACATTAAGATTTTTTTTTTTGTAAACTGATGTGTAATAAATTGCCTTCTAGTGGGGGGACTGTCTTACAATGGTCATGTAAATGACAAGCTCCGTGTGTTTTTACAATTTCATAGATAAGAGTAGAATATAAAGTCTTGTTTGTGACATTTTACCTGAACAAAATAGCACTCTGGTATTCTCACTATCATGACGTGCTCATTATTTTATGGCAGGCCACCTCTCTAGACTCAGTTCTTGCCAGCCACTTTACATCCAGCATTCTTCAGGTATCAACAGCAGCAGCTCTAATGAGGTAAAGGCTGCTGAGTGACTGGTGTTGTGTTGGTTGTAGGATGACTATGTCCTAGAAGTTCGGCATTTTCAGTGCCCCAAATGGCCTAACCCAGATGCCCCCATAAGCAGTACCTTTGAACTGATCAACGTCATCAAGGAAGAGGCCTTAGCAAGGGATGGCCCCACCATTGTTCATGATGAGTAAGTATCTGCTTCTTAATTTTACAGTCACATATTCCTTTGTGTTGCTAGAGTAATAGAAAGAGGGGGGCATATTTCAAAATTCTGGTCCCCTCTCAGTTTGTGACAATTCCATCTTAGTCCTAATGTGTAGATGTGGAAGGTGTTTGGGTTGTGTTCATATTAATATAGCAAACCCAAAGCTTCAGATTCTCCTAAGGGATATGTTCTCAAAAGGTAAGTCAACTTGCATGTTCTCAGAAGTTTTATATTTCAGTAGCTATTGACTTTGCATTCATTTCAATTATATTTACTATTAATACTTTAACATGAACTATTAAAATATAAAGAACACGAACCTCATAAATAACTTGTCCCTCTATCAAAGTTCACACCAGCCCCTTTTCCACATTAATATTTGAGAAAGGATCATAGAAACACTTTGTGACTTACATATCCTTATATGACTATTTGGAATCAGATGTCATGACAAGAAATGACCTAGAAATAAGTTGTATAACCCCCAGCTTGTTTATGTCACAAACCATTAACCAACATGGCACCACTAATGTATTTACTTTTTGTAAGGTTCAAGGGTACTCCCTCAGTCAGTGCTTCATTTAAGGTCATTAAGTTGACTACTAGTAGCAATATGGAAAGGAAAGTCTATCATTTTCCTTCTAGTAATACTCTAACAGGAAGTGAACAAAGACTGCAAGCCAACAAAGAGTGGCCTCACCTTAGAAAGTAACTGGCTTACTGGCTGCTCCAAGGAATGTTGTGGCTTTTTTGAAATGTTGGCCTGACTCTTAATCCTTCATCTGTTTGAGAATGACAGCCTCAGAATAACTGGACAGTTGCTCCTGGTCTATGGAATTTTAGAGTAGCAGTTTATATCATAATTTTTGAACTGCTTCTAGAGCTTTTCCTCCACTAATCTGCATCAGTTTTTAAAAATCACTTTGGAGTTTCACCATCTCATTTCAATCTGAATACTACCCTTGCTCGTCACTTCTCCACAGCTAAGCTAAATTAGTGCTTATTTTAAAGTCAGTAGCGTTACCTTTCAAAAGAGAAGAAAAGAAAAAAAGGCAGATTAAGCAATTAAAATGAATGGTCTCATTTATTTATGATAAGGTATTTTTTGTTTTTGTTTTTTTTATGCCACATAGTAACTATATCACCTCAGGAATTGATCCTATATAACTTAAGTAAGGAAATCCTAAGCTAGTAAGTCTGAAAACACCATCCGTGAACCAGATTAAAACTCATCATAAAAAGTATGTTCAATCCGTTATCCACCATTCTTGAAGGATAAGTGATTCCATAGAAATTCTTTTCCACAATACTCAAGAGCAATGTTAACACTTCTAAACAATTGTTAGGGTCAGTTTCTATCTTACCTACTTTTCCACCTCTATATCCCTCCCTCATGCCTACAAATACCACAAATTTAGCATGCCTAAAATAAATCTTATCTCCCTACCATGTTCCCATCCATATAAATGTATAATCAGAAATACATTCAGAATATCTTTAAAGTACCCTTCCACATCTGACTTTCTGGTCTCGGCTCGCTTTCCCAGCTACCATGCAGTCTCCACTAAAGGGCCACCTTGCCCCCACTAAGTACCATTTTCTGAATGCCCTTTTCATTCAACTCTCTTCAAAAGTCCAACCTGTGATCATGAAAACCGTTAACAAATATCACCCTCTTACCAGTGCCATTCTTGCAAATCATGACTCACCTCCACGCTGCTGAGACCACCATAAGTAACTTACTCATCGATCTGTCTAAGGCTACTGGGTACAGCCCATAGCCTGGCACTTTGGGGTGCTGTGGTAAATTGCACCCCTACATGAACTGTCCCCAGAAAGCCTTACATCTTGCTCTTGTTCTGTCATTTTGCCAGTTTAAATGATTCTGCGAACTATAAAGCCTATTTATATAAAGTTTCAAAGCTCTGCCAAAAGCAGAAGTGAACAGACCTGGAGAAATGGCCTCAGTATATCCAAAGTCAGTACAAGAGTTGAACTTACAGTACACAAACTATGTGTCATCTGTCAGATATTATTTCAACACCCACACTCAATATCCTGAGTGTACAGCTGTGTACAAGGTAGATGAAGTTTCTAAGATATGATCTATGGATAACATGTCTCACCAAAACGTAAGCTGTTTCTTTTTGAGGACAGGCGCCAGCATCACATGCTCATCCATTAAAAACAATTTTGTTCAGAGGTTGATCTGTGTCATTAGAGCCAAAATTTTAAGATAGAACTACAAGAATTTCCAGATGGTGGTAGCAGAGTTTTAAGCCATGCGTGGGACCCAAATGAGCAGTGGCCCTAAGAGCCTTAGCATGCCATGGTCACCCCCAGATCGGTACATACTTGCTGTCCACACTGCCGCCCACAGGTTTTCAGTGAGCACCCCTACACTCACGCCCCAATTTCCAATGATTCCTTCTCAAAGCCCCATAAAAAAGGCTTTGATGGTGCTATTTTGATACCTATTTAATCTTTGTTTTCCTTTCCTAGTTGGGCAATTTTATGAGATTAAAAAAAATGATTCAATAGATATACACTGGTGTCTTTTAAAATGAATATCAACATTATTGTACATGAAAAAATGAAAACAGCATTTTTGGTATAGTTATACAAGTCAGAACACTATACTTAACTTACCTATCCTAGTTTGATTTCAGTTTTGTCCACACTACTAGGTAGTCTCATTTTTTCCATTTCTTAGGCTTAATCTGTTTTCCTGTTACATGTTTTTAATTATTCCACACTTTCTGTATAAAAGCATTAGTAATACAAGAACTATTCTCCGTGGAGACTAGAAAAAGCCATAATTTATACACTATTCTTGTTTTACCTAGGCTATAAGTTACTTGTGTTAACTTTTCACCAATTTCTTGTCATTAACTACAAACCCATAAATTTGATAAACGTCCTTTTTCATTCCTAATTCATTCCTAAATTTTTGAAAGAAAGGCATTTATATTTTCAGTCTTTTTTCTTTCATTACAATGCTTGGCATGTTGAAAACATTTAAAAGTTATCTGTACATTTGATTGATTTGACTTAGTTTAGTTTCTAGTCATGTTTAAAATTGCATTGTGTAAGTACTTCCTTTTAATTTAGGTGCTTATTAAAGAGTAAAGATAGGAAAGCCAGCTCAAGGAAAAGCCACAGTAATCCCACAGGGAGTGCACAATACACAATGAAATACATATTACCTGACTATGGAGAGCTTTGAAGAATTTAATAATAAGATCCTGATTCTACCTTTTCAGTAGAAGAGATTAAGCAAAGGTTAAATTTCTTCCCCTCTGTGGGGGAAAAAAAGACAAACCCTAGCTATGCTAAAATGAGAAGGCAAATTTTAAATCTGAGCAAAAACAGCTTGAATAAGAATAAAAAAGTATATCAGAATTATTGGACTGATCAGAATTTTACAATAATATCCTCCAATAGCTAAAGAGTACATGAAATGAATTTAAAGCATGTAACGGGAGAACAAATTAGAAGCTATGAAACAACAATGAGATTAGCTAATAGCTCTTCTATATTTAGCTTTATATATCCTATCCTACTTTGATTTCAGCTTTGTTCTAACACATATGAGTGATCTTGGAGAGAAGAGATGAAGTAATGGCTGAGGTTTTCTAAGAACTAAGAGGAGTGAGTTCTGTTTATACCAACACAAGACATGGAGACTAGAGAAGTTCCTTACAGTCTTTAAATACAAATAGTTTCTTTACATAAATTGGCATAAGTGGTATTTGAGTACCTTCCCCCCAAACTGATACTGCACAAAGCCACATTCATTCATTTTAATGCATCAAGAAACCACCAGGGAAGTCAGACTCCAAACCCTTACACCTAAACACTGAAAGCCTTATATCAAGAATTATGTACAAATAAGAGTGATAATAATTACAAAATACTTAATCAAATGATGGCAAAGTACTGCATTTCAATACTGTATAGAAGCCAGTCTACACTCAGAACAAAAAATGTACAGCCTAAATGGCATGTATTGGAAAATAGCTAGTATACAAATCCGACAACTCCACCTCAAGTTCAAGCATTTAAAAGGGTGATAAAAATGGGGACAGAGAGGTAACAGTAAAATTTAACCAGTAAAGTTTATAAAAGATACAACTTTGAGGCCCTCCCTGGTGGCACAGCGGGTTAAAGCACTGCACTGAGAAGCTTAAACCACTTCCGCATGAGTTCAATTCCCACCTGCCCCGGAGGTGACCACATGGTGTGGCAGACCTCTCCTGACCCGCCCGCTGCTCCCCTCAGCAGTGTACTTTGTCGATCTGCCTGTTCTGCTCCCTGCTCTGTCTCTAGTGAATCCTCTCACCCTCCGCGTCTCTGGCCTGTACCCCAGTTCTGTATGAATAAATAAATAAATCTTAAAAAAAAAAAAAAAAGATACAACTTTGAAATTTTCAGGAAAAAACTAGAGCAGAAAAATTAACATGACGAATAGCTACCATTGTCTAAGTCCTTTTAAAGTTGAATAAAATATTGGGCCCTCCTTGGTGGTGCAACAGATTAAAACACAGCACTGCAAGCCACTTCAGTGCGAGTTTAACCCCCAGCCCCAGAGATGACCCACATCCACATGGTGTGACAGACCTCTCCTGAACCACCAGCTGCTCTCCACTCTGTCTCTGGTGAAACCTCTCACTGCCCCTACACCTCTTGCCTGTACCCCATTTCTGTGTGTATATATAGATAAACAAATCTTAAAATATATAAAATTGTATAAAATATTAATGAATAAGATATATGTGGGGAAAAGATATATATGTGAAACACAAGTGGCCACATGTTGATTATTTTATGTGTGCCAAAAGATAGAAAATACACATCTGAAACTAGTTCTAGAAGTTTTAAGTCTAGATAATAAGTATAATAAATGATTTTTAGTCAGCAAATGTTATGTGCTGGTCTGTTCTGAAACACCTGAAATATGAGCTCTAGTACCACAAGATGTCTCTAAAGTTATAGCCAGTTATTTCACCTGGATGTGCCTCATGTCTTCAACCTCAAAATGGAGCTGTAACATAAGATTATTGGGAAGATTGTTGCTGTGTGTTCAAGACCTGTAAGGCAGCCTGCACATACATGTTAGTGATTCCTGAAATTAAGAATAAGGTCTCAAACTGGCAAAGCCCAGTAAATCTTGATCAGGACTTGGTTGCTGAGTAAGAAAGTGGATGATTTAAAATAACCTGAATTTCACAATTTTAAGAAGGCTAGCACCAGAAAGACAAAAGTAAAGACTAGAAAGGAAAAGTAAAGACCATTGTAACTTGTAAATACAAATTCTAAATGAAGTAGCTAGCATCAGGTCAATCCCATTGTACTATATAAGGGGGTTATGCATCATGTGGAGATACCATGGGAATGTGAATCTGGTTAAAAGCTATGAAAAATCCCTAAGTGAATTCAGGACATTATTAAGGAGATTGCTTTAAAAAAAAAAAATAGATGTTAGAAAGCAATACCCATTCATTATTCCCTGGCCCAAAACACTCTTTACGGTGACAAAGTAGGAAGCATTGTCTTAATCTTATAAGTGTTATTCTAGCAGAAGCTTATCACAAACATCTGTATTTATTACAGAATACTTAGGAGATTAAAGAACACAACATACCTCCTTGCAGTGTTGCAATACAGAAGTACTGGGTTTGGCACATGGTAAAAAGCAAGAGACAAGTATCAAAATTGAAAAGGAACAAAACTGATATTGTTAGCAAATAAAGATGTAATTGACTTCTTGGAAAATCCACAGTTAGCACTTAGAATGCTAGGTTATGTCTGTGGCCTACCTTGTGGACATTATTATGTATCCTACCTACTAAAGGAAACCAAAGGAAGAATGTCATAAAAGGCCATTTTTTAAAGCAATTAACCTAAAATAAAAATGGCAAAGACCATGAAGAAAGCTGTAATATCTGACTGAAGGCTGCTACAAAAGACCTGAATAAGTGGGAGCAGACATACCTGAACAGACAATTCAGAACTCATTTCCTGAGGTCCATCAGTATACTCACCGGAGCCTAATCAAAATCCACAAACTTTGTTCCTTGACAATCTAGTTTCAAAATATTATCAGGTGGGATGGAATAGGGTAGTAGGCTAGAGGAGTTTGGAAAAAGAAGGTCCACATGAAAAATGACAATAAGTATGTGTAAACTACTGAAAAACAGGAATTTGTCTATGTAGAAATAGCCAAAACTTCACCTGATACCAGGACTTACTCAAATCCTATAGTAAGTAAAACAAATATGTACAAGTGCAAAAAAAAATGCAAATAGTAAAATTAGGAACATGTAAGAGTTATCTCTTGAAACAATGGACTAGACAAAACATTAAACAATTCAAGAAAGGCCCAAAATAGATTTATAAATTTGAGTACCTCTACATAATTTAAGTGCAACAAAATAACCACATTTTTAAGACAGACTAGAGACGAGGGGGATAATACTTGCAGTATGTCCAAATAATATGCCTCCTATAAATCCACTCAAGAGACTAACTAAACAGAAAAATGGCCCAAGTGTATGAACAAGCAGTTCCAAAAGCGGAAATATGGATGATTAAAAACATCCAAAGATATTCAACTTCCCTCACTAGCAAGGAATGGTTTGATAGAATTTTTCACAAGTCAGAGTGACAGAAATGATTCTAATGTAATTCTCCTGGAGGAAGGGTGTGAACAAGAAATAAACTCTTGGGAGAGAATTAAAGCAGCATCTTTAGAAACCGTCATACCTCAACCGAGGCTGACTTCCCATGTTTCCCCTGCCAAATGACACAAGGTACACAATTTAAATGTCTGCCCATGAGGAAACGAGTTTGATATGGTACAGTGTGGAACAATGGCCTAGATGGACATGTGCTGATAAACGTGAGTCCACAGATCCGCACCCGAAGGTCTAACAATTTTTATCTCCAAGAAGTAGCAACTCTAAATTTGGGGTGGTGTTTAGTGAGGCTTTAGTGTTCCTTATATTAGAGATGGAAAACATGGAATATTTTTATTAAACACAGGAATGAATTCAGAAACTGCATACTTAACTTTTTAACAGTCACTTGGCAAAGACATTAAATTTTAGTCTCATTTCTACCACCAACCAACAACACCACCACCTTGAACAATTTATTTAATCCATCTGTTTTCTTATTACTAACGTGGAAGTTTTGTGCTCCACCCCCCCACCCCAGTGCCTGTTTAAAAAAAAAAAAAAAAGAGTGGCTGACTTGATTTAAAAAAAAATCTATTACCCGTTCTAAGCAATAGATTTCATAGAAAGTGCTCTTACTTGCAAAGTTTTGCTTAAGTGGCAAAAAGTACTCATTGTGTAACTTGGTTCAAATAGTCTCACATTTTGAGCCTTTTTTTTTTTTTTAATTCTTATTTCTTAAGTTCAGTTTAGCTATTTGGAATTTTTTTGAGCAATGCTGAGCCCTTCACCAGTTTCTATCTGTCTACAGTTAACAATTGTCATTTTTGCTGTATTACTCAACTTGCCCCTCAATAGCTGTGATAGCTTTCTAAGGACTAATTGTGAACCTCTAGTTTTACATTATATATCAAAGTTAGCCTCTGGTCATCCAGTGGAGGAGACTTCCTATTCATAAACCAATGCTCCCCTATGTTAGCCTCCAAATCTCAACCCTTACCCAGGATTTCATCTGTGTGTCTGTATTGGAATCAGTCACAATACAGTTCCTTTGAAGTCTATGAAAATTTGATTCCAAAATATTCCACCCCTTAATAAATCTGAAGTAACATTGTTTTTCTCACCAAGGTATGGAGCAGTGTCAGCAGGCATGCTGTGTGCGCTTACCACCCTGTCCCAGCAACTGGAGAATGAAAATGCTGTGGATGTTTTCCAGGTTGCAAAAATGATCAACCTTATGAGGCCTGGAGTATTCACAGACATTGTAAGTATTTTGCTTTTTTGTGAGTTTCTGTGTCAGCGGGGATGTCTGGCAATGCCCAGAGACCTTTTTGATTGGCACAACTGGGAGCTCAGACAGATGTTCTGGCATCTAGTTAATAGAGCCCAGAGGCACTAACCTCCCAGCAGCCCTCCTCTATGAGGAATGACCTTACCCAAAATGCAGCACTGCTGAGGCTGATGCACACCTCTTTCTAGAGCATAGTGTTCCCTAGTTACAAGGAATACTCACTTTTCTCTTCATCAACTATCAACATTGAGAACCCAGAGTGTTCTGCAAGCTAACAGAAACTGAAAGAACACAAAGATGCCAGGCTTGATTAAGAGGCTTCAAGCAATGTTTACAATTTTTTTTTTTTTAGCATAAGTTTATGTTCTTCTATCTGTTGTAGGTTTTTCTTAATTACATTTTGAGTCGGTAACTTACCATAGATGGAATGATGAAGCTGTTCTTTGGTTGATACTGTCTTCCTCTTGTCTTTCAGGAACAATACCAGTTTGTCTATAAAGCAATGCTCAGCTTGGTCAGCACTAAAGAAAATGGAAATGGCCCCATGACCATGGACAAAAATGGTGCTGTTCTGATTGCAGATGAGTCAGACCCTGCTGAGAGCATGGAGTCTCTAGTGTGACCGGACTAGTGAAAGGGCACTTAATTTGTAAGACTTCTGAAGACTGAGAACTTCTTTGAGGCCTTTTTTGCCAGACTCTAGGTTATACAATAACCCAGTTACTTTTTTACACTGATAAAAGTTTTGATATTTATTTTTTGCCATTTTATGTCTTAATGGTATCCTACTGAGCATTTGCACCTCTGTTCATTTCACACAGTGAAAACAGTTTTACCTAGTTTGCACTATATGATCAGTGTTACTGCCTATAACCTAATACTAGAGCAAAACCCTGATGTGACATTCCATGACAACACACATGCTATTTTTTAGTTCAGTACAGTGAATGTCTTGGTTATGACAGTGAATCTCGATTTTGTTGTTGTTATTATTATTATTATTGCTAAGCAGCTGCATTCTATGAGCAGGCAATGCTGTGCTTTTCTCAGTCCTGTTTTTTAGGCACTAGTCAATACTGTGTGTGTTCTGTACTTTAATAGAGTGGACGAGCGTTATTTTCAAAAATAGGTTATCAGGAGCTACTCAGAGGGTCTATCAACCACATGGCCTTGAAACAGTTCTTTTTATGAAGGAAGAAACCCATTATGAAATTAGAAAGCTTCTGATTTGTTTCACTTGAACATCACTTATTAGTTACAGAATTATATTCATAGCTAAAATAATGCCCAATTGTGTCAAAATAAAGGATATCTCTGTATTACAGTTTTCACAGTAGCTATGTGGAGAGTGTGTGTTATTTCCATTGTGACTCTATGAAATAGCTACACCTTAAAACCAGGGCTATCTTTTACAACAGAGATTGGCAATATTTTACAAGACTGAGTTACGAAACCCTTTAGTGGCTCTCCACTAATGCTTCCTGGCTTAATATCTCACAACAGGTGGGGGAAAATTTTCACAGGTGCATAGTTTCAAACAAGTCCTCTAACTATCCCTACTGCTCATACAACAATCTAATTTAAAAAACAAACAAAAAAAACCCAACTACCTATATAGTTAACATTCTTTTCTTTCCTTTTTTGTCTAATATTTAATGATAAATCTCAGTTACATACATTCTACTACCAGGATTGAAATACTGTTTTATCAAAAGTCTTGGGACTATTGAAACTCCCAAACATGGACAAATGTGATTTGCAAAGAGAAAAATTTTAATCCTGAAAGATGATACTGACATTTTCAACACTTTTCAAAAGAGGGAGATGACTATATGCTTTCTTATTACCTAGCGTGAGGGATAATTACAGAATCCAAGAAAGTTATTTGGTCTAGCATTGAGCAATAGTCATCCTGAAGTAGTACATAATGGCAAAATTATGAACACTCAAATTTCGGTTTAGTTAGAAACATACTCTACTCACTGAGACTGCTTTCTCCTATTGCATATCTGCTTTGGAAGGGCAACTTGTCAGTTTTCTGCTCATCACTACCAGAACTGGGCCTATTAAGAAAAAAGGGTTTTGCTTATTTTGGGGAGATTAATAAACTCCAACAAAATATCCACACTGGCTACTATTGTACTCAGCACTGATGTTCTGTTTATCTTGAATTGGGTTTCTATAAAGTTGCAGAGTGGTGCTGAAGGACCAAAACTGCTAAGGAGAGAGGCTGCAGGCCAAGTCCCACAGTTCCACACATACACTTAGTCAGTGGAATGCTCATGAGCTATATGTGACTTATTAGAGGTAATCTTATCTTTTCATCACAGATTCAGCAACAGAGAGTCCTTCACTTTCAAAGCCACGGAGGCTAAGCTTTAGAAAAGATGTGCCGGTTTGCTAAGTTGTATGTGCTAGATAACACAGATATTTTGTCAGCCCCTCTCTTTCAGCAGAAATGACACAAGGAAGTTCTTCCTCACACTTTAAAAAAAGAAAAAAAAAACTTGAATAAAAGGAATACTACAACTGCCAGGAAGCTAAGGAGCTAAGGAGAGCTAAGGGGGCCGGGAGGAGGTTTGAGATCATGACAAGAGCTAGGTCATTTTAGTCAATTAAGTGTATTGCTTTCATTGAACAAAGTACTGATAGGAGTTAACTCTTTTTGGTAGATGGCAAGGTAAACTCTACTTTCAGAACTAATGTTTGAGTTGAAGTTCATAGTCCCTCAGTAATGTTTCTTATAAGCAAACACTAGTTAGCAAGATACATAGCAAGTATTTCTGTCTGTGCTATTTAGAGGGCTCAGTTCATGGAAATGCGTACCCTCCAACACAATTCTGTGACCATCTTCACGGGGGTACCAGCACTGTGATACAACAAAGATTAGTAAATAGAATACAAACAACAAAGACAGTTTAGTAGTTCTCTTAGCAAATGTGATGTCTATAGCAGACTTAAACTCAAGTCTACAAATCCTGACCCACTGAACTAGGGGTCACTGCTATTTGCCCATCTTGCCAAAATAGTCCAAATATGCATCAATGACGAAGTTACAGTCAGCAATTTCTCACTCGCCAGAGTAGATCCTCACTATTACTTTTCATTTGTTACTAGCAAAAGTATACTTGCATCTCTCCAGCAGCAAAGTTTCAAAGATGGTATTTCTTTGAGATCAAAGCACATTGCTTAACTATGTAACAAGCTTATTACTAGTACGTGCACGTGCACTCAGGGGGAAAGGAAATAGCTACTGCAAACTAATGTGTACTATTTTATAAAATAAGCTTTGAGGAACTTATAAATTTAGCTCTGGGTAAACAGCATACATACAACAGTGAGTCGTAATGATCAGACCAGCTGCCAGGCTGGACATCAGAGAAAAGACATTTCATTGCCATTAGGAGAACTCTTCCATCCAAAAGTCACAATCTCATTTATATATATATATATATATATATATATGTATATATATA